ATTGATTACGTAATTTACCTAAACGTCTAAGTATATGGTACTTTTCGGATCGATCTGAAAGGGGCCAAAATTTTTTTTTAAGTTTTAAAAAATTAATAGTTAAATTAATTGTTGTGTTTATTATATGGTGTAAAAATTTTTTTTACTAATAATAAAAATTAATACCTTATTTTCACGTTTTTTTAAAACTAAGTTTTGATTTTATCTAAATAAATCAATAAAATCAAGAAATCAATAAAGATAAAGGGTGTCTGATAAAAATTTTTAAAGTCGATTTTTTTTGCGCCACCCTAATAGGTATACATGATGCCTTTTTACAGGCGTTGTATTTTTCAATTAATATATTATACCATTATGTATAATGTATAATGTATGTCTTATTGTGCGCCGTGATAAGGCTCTGACATAATGCACCTCTTATATAAAAGGATAAAAAGATAAACTTAATCAAAAAATAAATATTTAGTATAGTTCATAAAAATTTTTTTATTTTGTAGTTTTATATAAAATTAAATAATCTATACTTACACATTACAAATACATTAAATAACAAATAGTAATTTTTTTTATATTCACTTATTAAATGAAGGTAATTTCGTTAAAAACAGACATATTATATATTTTTAATTTTTAGATATATATTGAAACATACTCTATGAAGGGTTATCGTTACAAACTGATCTAATTTAGATCAGGACATTAAATCTCTTTCATCTCATTGTTTTTCCCTTCTCCCCTACATTAACCGTATATTGTACAGTCAAATGTTAAACATTTGTATTTGTAGATTTTGCTAACAAACAAAATAATTATATATCTATTAAATTCAACAAATTAACTGTTTACATTGTGCCCGACCACAAGTAGTTGGTATTAAGGCGAGGAAGAAGAAGAAGAATTATTTACATTAAAGTCATATTTATAAATAATTTCACGGGACTTAAAAAGTCCATATACTTACTTATTGGGACAGTGCCCCTTAATATAGAATATATATAACGCAATGTATTTACATGTGACGTCACGTTGAGTTTATTGTTGGTTGTATATTTTGCTCCTAGGCTTATCATGCGCACTAATTTGATCGAGCATACTTCTTATTCATTTTACTATGACTTATAAATGGTAAAATATAGTTTAAATCTATCCTATATGCCTTATAAAGAAAAATAGTCCACCTAAGAAAACTACAGGTTAATAACGACTTTTGAAACAGTATCTCGAAATTTGTTAATGCAGACTGGAGAGGAAGTTTGGGTTATGTTATTTTGAACTAATAAAATACTGCTCCAAAAGTTTTCATCGAACAGTCATTGTTTTAATTAAATTATTTTCCATGTATAGACTATATAAATATGAATTTTGCTATTAAAAAATTAAGTTGGAACCCTTTTAAGGGATAGACCTTAAAAATATATAACCATTTATACATCAATAAAAAAAATTGTATTTATATAAGCCAAACATTTTGTTCTCAAAATTATTATTATTTTTAAAAAAATCTAGTAGTCATCGATAAATAAATCGCTTTGTATATATTTATTGTTTTTCTTTTTCAATGTAGTCACTTATGAACTGAACGTATAAACCCATGTGAAATCTTCAACTGATACTGTAAATAGTTGCTAAGTAACTTTATTTAATTTGTTACACTTTTATGTTTGATTAACTCAATTGAATTTTGGATATAATTTATAATTAATTTACTATATTATATACAGTATAAAGCAATATTATAAGTTAACGTTTTTATTGATGAAATAGAAGCTTTTCTAGCCAACAAATTTTTTTATTAAATTATTAATTGTTGACATTAAAAATATTTTAAAGTTCATGTAAAGCTAATAATTTTGATTATGAGAAAAATTGAGGGCGCTTTATTCGTTGTTATTCCGATGTATATATCACATACTCTGTTTTAGTGTGTTTTATTATTGAACGTCCTAAAAATAAGAATCGATATGACACTGGCAAAGCAGACGGACTAATGGCCGGCAGTCTGTCTGGCACCGCCGTGACCGAACAAGTTTAGTGTTGATACGTTAAATAATTCGTTAAATAATTGAAAATCATTTTATTTTTCTGACAAAAGTAAGTACTTTTGAAGTATATTATTTACAAAACAATCACCTGTACGATTTAAAGCAGAAATAATAACGTGCTTGACAACTTAAAATAAAAATTTTTGGCAATAAAAATATTATTTGATGATTCATATAGTCCCAAAATTTTATTTATTACCAAAAATATTCTGTTGAGGCACTATACAATTTGTCTGTATTATCGAATAGTAGTTATATTTAATTCTTTGTTAGCCATAACAATTCCAACACATTTTATTAAGTTAGAATTTTTACTCGTAGTTATGTTGAACTACGAAATATAAACTACAAATTCTAATATTTGTTGTTTTAGGCCATGTTTCATAGTTATAATATGTACACTGAACATATAATAATTGTAATATTTTACTGTGAATCGTACAGTCAAATACAATTATTATAGGAGTAGAAATTAGAATTTAAATAAAATATTGAACTTTAAAAACGGTTTCACCTATATAATCGTTCGACTGTAGCTGTTCATAAGTGGCCTTGAATTGTGTATTTTAGTTTATTCTGATATCAACTAAAGATACAATTAAATGTTCTTTTCACTTTTAATTACTTACGTGCAAATATTTGAATGACTTATTATTTTCACTATTAATATGTGACTAAAATATCACTCAAATGATAAATAAATAAAAAAATTTTGCAAAAGGTGTAAAAAATATATTTAAATAATACGATGCAATCATTTCTTTATGACTCTATGATAAATAGTTTTCCTTTCTCTTAAAAACAGAAAAGCATGTATTTTATTTTGAATAATTATATTAAATATATTTTTATTACTCCTTAAAATATTAATAAATTTTTGGTGTTTATAATTTTAAATTAAAGATCAATATTTGCTGCATAAAAATTAATCAATAAAATTGTCCTTATTTTGTTTTAATTTGATATTTTTTTATTATATAAGCTACTTAAATTTGTATGTTACTATTAAAAAAAATTTTTTCGGACTCTTATAAAAAATGGACCTAAAAAGTATTTAATAATTGATAAATTAAGAAGTAAATGAAACCAAAAATAATAATAAAAAAATTCTCAATATTTTTATTATTTTAGAAGAAATAAAGTGGCTAATATTAAAAGAATCCTTCTGTATACTAATTAATTAATTTTGCCTAGTATGTATTTTAAGAGAAGTTCTAGACTCAGATCATAAAAATTTAATTTAAGAATAAAATAATATTACTTGTATGATCACTTAGATCATTATTTAAACATACGTTAATATTATATTAAATCTTATCTTATTATAAAATATTAATGATATTTTATGGAATATTTAAATTTTTTTCTAGTGCTGAAATATGTTTTTTATATTTTAAAATTAAATCTTGAGCTGTAAGGTTAAGATAAATCACAGTTCAGATACAATTGCGTAATTTTATGAGTCAATTCTTATACTAGAATAAACAGGAGGGATATACCAAGGTAATATTAAACCACAAAGAGAATACGGAAACAATTAAACCTTACAGTGAATAACGATTACTGAGATAGGCAAAAAATATACTCAGTTTAACTTCAATACTATTCAAATTTAATACATTTTAATTTAATGTTTGAAAATATAATAATAAAACTAACAATATGATATTTATGATCTGCTCTATAATATAATAATTTAATATTTTAAATTTATAATTGATTAATTAAATTTAATAAAATCTACTTAAATACAATTAATTAGACAAATTAAATAAAATTTGTTATTTTTACGCATATATTAATCATTTATTAACATTTTTTATTGAATTATTGTTATAAAACTAATTTATCATATTTACTAACAGTTCCTTAAGATATAAATAGTGAAATTATTGTATTATTATTTCATTATTTATTAATTTTAATCAAATATTACTAAGATCAACTAATTTATAAATTAAATATAAAGTAAACTAAATAAATTTTAATAGCATTGAATTTAAGTGATAATTTTAAATTTTTTTAAATAATGTTGAAAGATGGAAAAAATTCTTGAGGACATTTTAGAAATAGATGACTATATGAAATATAGTAATATGAAATGTTTATAATTAATATGATATCAACGCGCTCATGTATATAATAATTGTTATATCATATTCATGTTATTCGTTTTATGTATGAATCAGGAAATTAAACAAGTTATTATATTAATAGTTTTAAAATATTTATTTAACTATTAAATCAATTTATACCAGTAAAGGACAATTAATTTATCTATGCATTCATTATGATGCACATGAAAAATCGCATGATAATATCTTATTCTTTTAAAATAGTTAATTATTTAAAAGTTTTTATACTATAATATTATAACACAAGGAAGTACATAAGTTGCTCACCATTTTACATCATTGATATTGGTTACAAACTTTTAGGAAAGAAAATAGAATAATACGTAAAACTATAAGTAAATAATTTAAAGTTATATTTATATTTTATTCCAACTTTTCATTCCAAACAATTTTTTTTCTTAATGGTTTTTTCTATTTTATATAAGTGATATTATTTTGATCATAAAGTATTTAAACACTTTAATATAAATTATTACAACTTAAAAGGAATTTTTTAAATATCTTAAGTAAATTATTTTTAACTATAGTTTTAAAGATTTTTATTGTATTGTCTACTGCAGGAAATGGATTATACTGAATTTTTATTAAAAATTATTGCAAATAAAACACTTTTAAATATAAATTAATATTTCATTCAGAAATAATAAAATATCTTGAAAGATTTAAATTTAATTGCGACAAGCATAGCGTTTTAAAGTATCATTAAATGGTCATAAAATGACCTTGATCGTTTATTTAACGTTTAAATTAAACATTGTGAACTGTATGTTGTGTGAATATTATAAATTGACACAACGTATCAATTCTACTTAGTTGATTTTTAACAGTCCTTAACTGATACGCATTTTTGTTTTAATTGTATCAGTTCTTGTGAATTATCGGATGAGATAAAATTTTTATTTGATGTCACGATTTTCAATATGAAAACCATCGCGTTGTAGAGTACCATTTATTCGCGTGTATACTGGTAGGGAAATAACTACACGTTTTTTTTCACAACGTCCACGATTCATATTTAGTTATAGTATAGACCGGTGACAACAGACGTTAAGTGAAAGCCACACTGAACATTCCCATCAGTCAGTGCCGGCTATTCATAACGCTAACATTCACCTCTTATATATTTTATTTTATTTTTAGAGCTTGAGTACATCCGTTTCCAAACAGCAAAAATGACTTACTACACTACTAGAGTAAGTGGCGCATAATTTTATATTGAAATATAATATATTGCAATTATTAAAAATAACTAATTCATGACATGTATAATATTATGTACAATGTTTTAGTGTATACCCACTGTTCGACCAGCACCAAATTTTGATGCCAAAGAAGATGCTGGTGTACTCCGTACTGCCATGAAAGGATTTGGAACTGACGAACAAGCTATTATCGACGTTTTAGCAAAAAGATCCAATTCTCAAAGACAAGAAATTAAAGAAGCATTCAAAACCTTATACGGAAAGGTATGAAGAGTGTCTTTTAGTTTTCAACACATAGAAATCATTAATAAGTATGAATATGATGCTATAAATGAATATTCATATTTGCAGTAAAATACCGCAAATATAGCTTAATGAGAAATAAAAATACACTATTATAATTGGTGTAGTTTTCATAATTAAAGTGTACAAATCTTATTTTAAAATGTGATTTTATTAAAAATTTTAAAAAGGTTTCTAAAATGTTTAAATGCGATAACTCTTTTGAAAATTATTTGATAATTTTAAAATAAACAAAAAATAATAATTTACGTAAGAAATCATATTATTATCATAATTACAGAAGTATTTTAGTACAGTATTTTCAACTAAGTTGATAAAATATATGCCATAGCAAAGCCATTGGCAATGTAATAACTATTACTTATTTTAAGTTAATTTTTGCCATAGGACTTAATAGACGATTTAAAAAGCGAACTCGGTGGCAATTTTGAAAACGCCATTGTCGCTCTTATGACCCCACTTCCTGAGTTCTACGCCAAGGAACTTCATGACTCTATAAGTGGCGTGGGTACTGATGAAGAAGCTATTGCTGAAATCCTCGGCACACTTAGCAATTATGGCATTAGAACCATATCAACTGTGTATGAAAAATGTAAATATATTTTATGTAAAAAAGGATTATTGCTTCATTTTAAGATATTTATCATCGTATACAAAAGTCCAACTGTGATATTTTATTTTATAGTATATGGAAACTTGCTTGAAGATGATTTAAAAGGCGATACATCTGGCTCTTTCCAAAGACTTCTTACTTCTCTATGTTGTGTAAGTATTTTATATTGTAACTGTTTAAGATTCTTCCAATAAAGGACTACAACAAGGCTGACCCGAAAGAGAGTTATAAAGGATGTCTCTTTTATCCCTTTTAGAAATATATTATCACTTTAGTCTTAAGGACGGCTATAGATTCTATTTAATTTTGTAATATGAATATATATGCAAACTTTATTATCATTATTATAAATAAAATATTATAATCAATTTTTTTTTAATGCAGGCCAACCGCGAAGAAGAGGTAGAAGTTGACCGTAGTGCTGCTGTTGCAGACGCTGAAGCTTTAATGGCCGCCGGTATGTTTTATAAAGTTATCTTTAATTCTAATAGTATAACAAAAATATTTTTTATTTATTTAGGAGAAGCTCAATGGGGTACTGATGAGTCTACTTTCAACTCTATTCTTGTAACACGATCATATCCTCAGCTTAGAGCAATTTTCGAAGAATACGAAAATTTAGCTGGCAAAAGTATTGAAGAAGCTATAAAAAATGAGACTTCTGGTTCCTTAGAGCATGGTTTTTTAACTATTGGTAATATGATAGATAATAATTTTGAACACACACTATAATATCTAATTAAAAATAATAATAATAAGTACGAAGTGCCAAGAAAAAGAGCGATTATTATGCTGAACGTTTGGAAGCGTCTATGGCCGGTATGGGAACAAATGACCGTCAATTGATCAGAATTATTGTTGGCAGATCTGAGATTGACTTAGGTGATATCAAACAAGCCTACGAAAGAGTTTATGGCACTCCATTGGCAGATCGTATTGCTGTAAGTTAACAGTTTTTAATTTTAATAAGTGTATAATTAAAACAAATTAAGTATTTTAAAAAATTAGTTTAATATAAAGATTTTGTTCGTAATGAAAAAATAGTTATCTTTGATTTAAATATTCTTTTGACATTTTTTTCTGGTTAAATTTACAATTAATTTCATCTCATTGAAAACATCTATTATTACAATTTAACACTTTCGCTAATGATCAATAATTGAAAAATTTTTTTTCTTGAAATATTAATGTAAACAATATAATTAAACCTTTTCAAAAATTATTTTTATTTACCTAAAAGTATTATATAGTTCAACCTACCATATTCATTACACATATTTAATTAGATTTCACAGTTAAGCAGTTTTTTTTAGATTTTGTATAAGTAAAGAATTCAACTTGATTAGTATTAGTAATTTAATTAGTTATTTTAATTAGTAATTTTTATTTATTCTTAGGTATTAAATACTTAGTGTTTATTATAAGTATTATATACCTGTTGATAGGTTTGAAATCATTAGTGATTCTTTACATTAACGAGACTATTTTTTTGTTTATTTATCACTTTCTTATATTCATACACAAATATTATTTTTCTGAAATAACTGAATTTTAAAATAATTGGTTAACTTTAATCAAGGCTTGGAACTTAAGAATATGAAAAATTCTAAAATACCATATAGTTATTACCATAAAATAACCTACCTTAAAAACAGCGAAATTTTTGTTTAAATTTAGAATAATGTCCGAAAACAAAAATTATATCAGGAAAATATTTCAAATAAAATGAATATGTTTTATGTAATAAATAATTTTTTAATTTTTCCAAATTATTAACCAAACTCTATGGTTTTGTTTTAATTAATCAAGTGATGTTTGATGAATTTATATTGTTAAACACACTAAATTTTTACTAAACTTTATTTTTTTTTAAAAAACATGATAACATGTTTTCTCTTTTAGTCATATATTGATATGGTAATTTAGTTATTATTGAGGTGGACATAATGCCCATGCACTCAGACCTCTTGGTTCAATGTGCACAAAAATATGGTAATATAAGTAATATAAAATAAATTTGAAAAATATATCCAAATTAATATTTATATATCTAGTTTTTTTCGTCTTGAAAATTATTGTTTTAGTTTAATTACGATAACTCTTATGCTTAATAATTTCAATTAAATAACAAAATTACTTAATGCATAATTATCTCTAAAATAATTATATGAAAATTTTTCATAACAAATCTTCTTCTTTTTCCTCGCCTTAATCCCAAATACTTGGGGTCGGCCACCCTTATCCTAAACTTCCACTTGACACAATCACCCACATCAGCCGTTCTCATATCGCATTCAATAACATCTCTCCATCTCTCTTTTGGTCTTCCTCGACCTCTTCTTCCTTCGACATTAATTTCTATAACTGTTCTTACAGCCTCCGAATCCTCTCTCCTCATAACATCATGACCAAACCAATGTCTATTTTCTCTTATCTTATCTACGATTGACACTACACCTATACTACACCTATACTTGTATTTTAATCCTATATTATTTTTACCTATTTTGTCATAACAAATCTATTAAAATGTATTATCAAAAATGGTATGGGTTTGAATTTGCTATTGATTCACTTTTGTTTTAGGGTGATACTTCAGGGGATTACAAACGCTTGCTATTAGCTCTTGTTCGCCAATAATGCTTTGAAATATGCATGATGTTCAAAAGCACGTCAGAATCCTTGTACCATCATATTTGAGTTCATGTAAATTATATTAATTTGTTATTATTAAATTTGTTTGAGTTATTTTGTTAAGATTATTTTATTTTAACTAGTTAAATAAAGTAGTAGTAGAAAACGCTTTTTTTTAGGCATATTTTATCAATGATTGCCCATTATACATTTATTACACGAAGTTTTGATCGCCATATCGACTTTTCTTTATTGTATGAATACTATTCTCAAAAGATATTAATATTGTTCAAAGTATACTTTGATGAAATGTCATACATCATACAAACTTTAAATTACATGAATTAAAAAACATAATATATTAAGTGAACAAATCAATGTTATACGCAAGTCTATCTTAAAAAAAAAAGAAAGTATTTAAAATCAGTTGTGCAAACAATTGTTGCTGTTTATTTAATTATTCTGAACTATCTATCTCTAAATCTGTTCATACCTTACTTTGTTCGTGTTTCGTTAAAAATACAAATAATATATCCAAAGTTTTAAAAAACCCTAGACGAAAAAATTATTATATTTAATTATTAAGTGTTAGATATTAATAGATTCTTTTTCTTATCGTATCTGGCGTCGAAATAATAAATACAATTAAATAAATAAAAATAATATAATTAAAATACAGTATAAATATAAAATGAAATATATAATTTATATATTTTGTTTGAACCAGAAGGTGGCTACTGACATTGGCTTTATCATTAGCTGACATTAAGTCGTCAATCGTGCACCCTGGCAGAATAAGGGCGCACTGTAGTAGGTGTTCGTCAGTTTGAACATCGTCGCATTTGCACATGTCCGGTCCTTCTTGATGTCCTCATTTTAACATGTTTGCTTTTATTATAGCTACCCTTACTATTAATCTAATAAAATACTAACAGATAAAAGGTAATTTTTATTTCAATGAAAAATATAATAAAACGAATCTTGTGTATAATTATTTCCATCAAACAAAAATTTTGCAAATGTCTTTACAAATCTTTAATATTTTTTCCCAATATACCTAAGGGGTGTAAGAGGTTTTATTAACTTTAAATAAAATATTTCAATAAATAATTATTTCTAGTTAATAAAAATTAATTTTATTTGCATTTTATGTTTTAAATAATTTTCAACGAAAATGTCGAAATAACAAGAGACATAAATAAAACAGAACGATATGATAGAAAGATTCTTGAGAGTAAATAAAAACAATCTTAAATAACATAGAATATATTAAAGTTTTTTTATATCCTTGGCGCTTGTTAGTTTATGTAAGATAACATAAATCATCAAATCTTTCATAATATAAATAAAATTATTTCTAGTTGACTAAAAAAAAAAATCAAGTTTGTTTTATTCAATTTTGAAGCACATTTTATCATTAGTAAAAAATTCACAGAATAATAATAAGAAGAAATAATTTATAATAAATTGTTTTTATTTGTAGAGCGAATGTAGTTCAGATTTCAAAAAATTACTCATCACACTCGTTTTGCAATAAGAAATTTAGCAGCAAACATTTGCTTCGCAAATAAAATGCACATATGCTTAAGTACTCAAGCACATAAATTGTATTATTATAAAAAGTTATAATACTTTTATTTTGTATTTTTAATTAATATATTTGTATATTTATACTATATTTTCTAAATTATGATTGAATTTAAAATTTGAGCAGTTACACGCAATTGATATCAGTACTATGTCATAACGCACGATATTTATTTGTTAATTATAAATTTTATATTAAAAATATTAATGTATTGCCAATAAATTATTAAGTGCAAGTATTTTTTTGTTACGGTTTTAACTGGCTTATAATATATCTTTTCTGAAATAGAATCAAATTTAAATTAAAAAAAATAAAAAAATATAATTATAAAAAAGTAGTTTTTATTTTATAATATGCTTTATAAGCTATAAGTAACATTTATTTAAAAAATAATTTTAAGTAACTTAATTATTTATTAGTACATTTAATACTATAGACTATCAAAAACTTCAGATTTTTTTAGTACTCTAATTTTATGCAAAATTTCCGTACATGTATATTATAGTAGGTACATAAGGTATTAAAGTCTATATACAGACTTTAGTAACTGGTATACTGTTATATAAAACGTATAGTTTTAGCTTCGATTCGAAGCTGAGAAGGTATTAATTTTACTATGATATGTTTCTTTTTTTTTATTTATTTATTTTTTAGCTTCGATGCGAAGCTGAGAAGGTATTAATTTTACTATGATGTGTTTTTTTTTTTGTGTCTGTTAACACTTTTTCTCAGCTCTCACCGAACCGATTTCTTTCAATGATATGTCAAAAGATCACAAATCGTATCTAGTCGAAGACATTACCCTCTAAAATTGAAAAATTGTTCCTCGTTCCCCGTAAATAGGGGAAACCTCCAAAAAAATTACAAGTTTAAAAATCGCTAATTTTTAAAATTTTTTTTACTTAAAACTGCCATAACTTTTTCAAAAATGAACAAATCAATATATATTTTTTTTTATAGATGCATAATGTCTTTACCTACCATTTGATGTATTTTTTTTATAAATTTGACCCTTTACCTGCCCACAGGAAGGATTTAACATGACAACTTTTTCACAAAAAATTTACTTTTTCAACTAAACTTTTGAAAGTGTTCCGGAAATACTGACACTTTTATATATATCTTAAATTAAAGATTATGTAATATACTTTAATATAAAAAAAAAAAAATTCGGACTTTATTTTGTCTTTATTGTGAAAATAACTACTGTATTGAAAAATATGCTATTTTTGTGTGTAAAATTCTTGGTTTTTGTATTTTATTTTATTATAAGGGGATTAAACTGATTTTCATAAATATCATATCATTCTAATTGACATAGTATAAAAAGTTCAACATATTTAAATTTTTATGTTTCTTTGAAGTCGAGATAACTTTAAAATTTGAACTAGCTAAATATCCATTTTTTTTAAGTGACTAATGCGACGTACAGTTTCTGAGATGATAACACTTGAGTCTTTCACGCCTGTGGCACTGAATTTTTTCTTAATTCTTTTTGAGTAAGAAAAAAATGTTTAACTCATCTAATTTTTATCTCATTTATAATCAATAACTTCAATAAATATCAAGGATCCCATTACTGTAGTCTCCTCTCGTGAGAAGAAATTCATATTAACATTATTTTACTATGTGGTTTTTTTTGTAGCTATCATTTATTTTCTCAGCTCTCACTTGACCTACCTTTTTGACAAATTTTTTTTTCAAATTAAACACTATCTACAGATTTGCATCGTAACGTTTTTTATGATAGTGATTTTAATCACTGTCAGATATCATCTATACTGGACCCATCTATGCCACGACCTCACTGTACTGGGTTTTTTTTTAAATATTAATTTGTTTATTCTTTTTTATACTGTTTTATTATAATAGATTTTTAAACACGGTCTATGTTTAGTTAATCTATGTTTAGATTATTTCAGGATGCTCAATTGTACATATTTATCTGATCATAAAAATATCCGGTTTTGTGTTATTCATTATAATGTTATTTTACCTATTTATTATTTGTGGACCTTGAAATTAATTCATAAATTATAACTAGGAAGTCAATATTTGTAAATGTGTTTTGTTTATAAAAGAAACTTTGTTATATATTTTATATAAATATCTAAACATAAATAGTATTAATTGTTACAGTACCATAATTAGGATTTTCTTTTTTTTTTGAAGGGGGTGGTGGGATATATACATAGGTGTTGTATTTCAGTTTTATTAGTATTCCATCAATATCATTTCTCATTAAGCATAGATTGAATTTACTTTTAAAAAGTTTAATGTTATTAACTACCGTTGACATTTCAGTTATGTCAAATGGCATTGACATAACTGTATTTGGTGTTGGAAATATAGATCCATATGAGAGATATGTCATACATATCCCCATAATTACGCCAGTGGATGGTAAATATAGAAGGTGCTTATTTAACTATGAATCATTCAGTATCTTAAAAAATAATACAATTTCTTCTTTTCAGAAGTTAATAGTATCCTTGTGTGAGTACTGAGGTTCATAAATGCTTAGAAATAGAAATAAACAGACGCTTGCTACATTTTCAGTTATAGTAAACGGTTAATAACTTACAAAATATTAGTTCAAAAGTTGTTAACCACCGATCATTTTCTTAGTTTGATCATTTTCTTTACTTTAACTAGTTATACTTATAAGTTTCAATTAAAAAAAACTGAGCACAAGGGGGTCACAGCACAGTGGTGACGTGGCATAAATGGGTCAAGTATAATGATAGCTGTCAGTGATTAAAATCACTATTATGAAAAACGTTAAAAATAAAATAGAGAATTTTCACACAAAAATAGCATTCGGTAACTATTTTCACCGTGAAGACAAAATAAAGTCCGAAATTTTTTTTTTCCATAATAAAGTATATTACATTACCTTTAATTTAAGATATATATAAAAGTGTCAGTATTTCCGGAACACTTTCAAAAGTTAAGTTGAAAAAGTAAATTTTTTGTGAAAAAGTTGTTATTTTGAATCCCTCCTGTAGGCAGGTAAAGGGTCAAATTTACAACAAAAATACCAACTTAACGGTAAAGACATCATTCATTTAAAAAAAAAAAATTATATTGATTTGGTTATTTTTAAAAAAGTTATGGCAGTTTTAAGTAAAAACAAATTTCGAAAATTAGCGATTTTTAAATTTGTAATTTTTTTTGGAGATTTCCCCCATTTTATGATCTTTTGGCGTATCGTTGAAAGAAATCGGTTCGGTGAGAGCTGAGAAAAGTGATAACAGACACAAAAAAAAAACACATCATAGTAAAACATCGAAAGCTAAAAGTTAATAAAATTTTTAAGTTGGTAGAAGAGTTAAGGCACTTTATTTCGAAAATTCTAGAACATAATTCTGAAAAGATACAATTAAGTTATGTTTTATATTCTTAAAGATATGACATGAGTCATAGGTAAATAATCACTCTGTATAGTATTAAATAAACTTTTTTTTTAATTCGTTGTTTTACATCAATATTAAAATACAATATTACTACGATAAATAAAAAGTTCAATTCTTGTTTTTATTTTATTTTAGATTCATTAGAAGTAATGTTTTTTATTAACAAGTTTAAAATGTCTTTTATTATTACAATTTTTATGTTTCAGAATGATTGTGAATCTGAATGCAAATATATGTTTAAAGTTATTGTTAATCAATGAATGATATTTTATTGCTAAAAAGTAAACGAATCTCCAACATAATATTTTCTAAATTATCTGATTTGTGAACTAATTTGCTTGATTTTATCTTTGCCTAGTTGTATTATGAAAAATTAAAAATACTTAAATTAATATTTAACATTTATACTAATATGTACACACCAGGCGCAGATTAAATGAGAGTCTTAAGAACAAATGGCACCAAAATTAGCTTCTCACAATTTTTTGATTAGTCGAGAAAAAAGGAATTTTAAAAATATTAGATCTATGTATTTATAATTAATAAGAAGGCCATTTCAAAAGTCTTTTAAATCCGTACCTGGTGCATTGTAAAATTGTTTAAGCTTTTCTTACCATAGTTGTTACTAACAGATAATTAACTCAATTATTAATAAATAGTATTATTCTGTAAAAAAAACTTAGGCTCAAAGATATATTAACTCTTATTAAGATTAATTACTGACATTTACCCAACGTTTAAAATTCCTTCTTAATTTGAACGTGGTGTAAGATCACCATTTGAGCTTATAATAAAAAAAATGTTAAAATAAAAAGTTCATCCATTAAATTACAAAAAAATAAAATATTTTTATTGAATTTCTATTTATTTTCAAAATAATATAGAACTAAAGTTTTCTATTCTTTTGCGGTACATCAGAGGCGTTCTCAGAGTTTTTATTGACAAGGGTAAAAATAAAAAATTTGTTTTACCACTTACAAAATGTATCTTTACCATATATTTATTTTCATCGTGGGGGAGTTCTTCTCCTACATCTTACACCCAAAGAAAAACCTCAATCAAAATTGAAAGAGAAATTTTACCAAGGGTTTATGATAATGTTTTATTAATACGAAAAAAATAACTATTCTTATAAATAATTATTGTTCAAGACAAGAAAAAAAAATATCATATTGATAAATATATCATTGATTCAATAGTAATGATATATTTATCAAATTGAACAATGAATTTATTATATAGATCGAGGTTTTTCTCTGGGTGTACCTTGCAAGACGCCCATACTGTAAATGTAAAATACTTACATTTCATACGACCAGTGCTGGATGAAGATACGTGGTGTTACATTGATAACAACCATTTCTAAGTTTCTCATGATTTTCGATTTATAAATAACCAAGTTGTTGAATGGAATAAGGCTGTGTAAGTTTATGTAAAATAATATAATGAAATTTTCAACGACAACGTGTTGTGTAACTCGATAAACAATAAACGACGGCTAATAACTTAAAACTATATTAATAGCTGTATTATGTGAACTGCGTCATCCGTAAAAGGAATTTGAATCTTTAACCATTGTACTATGCTAACATGTGAACATTTTTGCTAAACTAAGTGTTATTTTAAATGTATTAAAATTAAAATTATTGTACCTTGTATGTTGTTTAATAATATTAATATAAGTATTTTAAGGCCCATTTCTTATGCTATATGAGGGTAACAACTTTTTTACGACAACATGCTTGTTTATTAATTGGTGGTCAAATGGGAGAGGATTAGGGGTGTTTGGGCTGACGGCATAGATAATCTACAGCTTATTCCAGAACCTGTACACTACTGGTTTGGATATGAAGGAGAGTGGACGCATATAAGGATTGCCTGAATAAAACATAATATCCCAAAATAGGTTCGCCTTATTAAACAACAACATTAATAAATAGAAAATTCTGAAATATGAAATTACAACGCTTACAAAATATTTAATCATTAAAGTTTTCAGCCCCTCACGTAGCAAAATCATTTGACCACCACTGCAATACACTGCCATAATAGCGCGTTCGGTAATCATTTAACCACATATTATCATAAAATCGTTTGTATTATTATTATTTTATCATTGTAAAAATTACAATCAACAAAACCAATACAGTGTCATAGTGCAGTACTATAACCAGTACTATACTGATATTATCATTTCCATAGAGATTCTTTATTTAGTCTGTAATAGCAGTGTACCCAGAATTTTTCTACCTAAATTTGGGAGCCATTTTCTTTTAGGAAAACATTGTCAGTCCCTATTATTTGATGTATAAATCTTTGGTAACATATACAGGGTGTTCAGTAAGTCAGGAAACGGGTTTCTATTGTTCTCATTGTTACAAACAATGAGAACAATAGAAACCCGTTTCCTGACTTACTGAACACCCTGTATATATTTTGTTGCCAACAAATTATAATATATATTAAATATATATTACAATAATTTAATTATTGTCCAAAAGTTATCAACCAGTTATTTTCTTAATTAGATAATTTTCTACTTTATAAATTAATTAAATATGTATGTTACCAATTAAAAAAAATAATTTAACACGCTTATTTATTATATATATTATTTTGAGAATAATCGAGTGGTTTATGATAAACCGATCACTCTGTAAAACCTTATTATTCTGTGTATTGTAAATGCAGGCATATTGACAAAAATATAATTTAAAAAGTTTTGATTAAATAATGATTCTATATTTTCTTAATGTTTTTACATTTCTATAACTTGATAATGTTTAATTTGTTCAACGACTAAAATAATAAATCTCCCGAAATAATCCTTTAAAATCCCAGTCAAAAAATTGTTTTATAATTACTAAAAATTGATTCGACTTGGCCCATGAAATCCATGTTGACATGTCAATTCGGTACATTAAAATCTATATAAAATAGAAATCAAAAAAATAAATTTTTAAATTGAAACCGAAACCAAAAAAAAAAAATTATATACAAAATTATAATTAAAACCAAAAAACAAAAACCGTTTTCATAATGAAATTAAAGCGGAAATATTTCTTATTATTATATAAACTTGTATAAACAAACAAATAATATGCTGTAACATTAAAATTTTAATAAAAAGAAAAACTGTAGCACAGGGGATATGGACGTGGCATAGTTAAGACAAGTAAAGACGATATCTGACTGTGATTAAAATCACTATCATAAGAAACGCTTCGATGCAAATTTATAAATAGAGTTTTATTTTAAGAAATTTGTGAATAATTACAAAAACAACATCAATTCCTATTTCCTTAATTATATCCTGATTAGTAAACCATTAATTTTAAAGTATAATATATGAATAAATACTACTTAATAAGTACACAGGATACAAAGAACTTTCATCAGATCAAAAATGTACTTAAATCAATTATTAGCGCTGTTTTCGAATCTGAAATTAGACATTTTTTATTGTATTATTAAGAATAATATGCCAAGAAATTTTATAATTACTATTTACAGTAAATTTTTCAGAAAAGCTCAATGTTTTTATCGTAATACATCACTTAAATAGAAATTATAGTAATAATTTCTAAGTAAATTTTGGTATTTAAAAAGATTCTACAATTGAAATATGCAAAACTGAATTAATTTTAATGATATACTTTAACTAAAAAAGAACATTTAAAATTCTGTTAAAAAAATCTACACAACTGAGAAATTTATAAAATTTGATTGTAATTGTAAAAAACCATTGTTGAATTCAAGTGAAACTAAAAATAATTTTTTTTAGAAATTATTTATACAGTAACATGTTTCTAAAAAATAAGAATATTATTGACTGGCAGAGTAACACACACAAATAGAGTTAAGAAATTAAAAACCACAAAGTAAAATATTAATTTTTTTAGTTGAAACCTATTATCATATCAAACCTAATTGGACAGTAAATACTTTTAAAATATTAGAAATGAATTATTTATATTGTCTGTATGAAGAACATGGAATAAGTAACTGTTTAACTGATAAATTAAATTTTTTTTTCAATTTTTGAGGGTAATATCCTCAACTAAATACGAATTATAATCACTTGATGTATCATTGAAAAAAGTGGGTCAAGCGAGAGTTGATAAAATAAATGATAGTTACAAAAAAATCCATATAGTAAAATAATTTTAATATAAATAAAAAATTTCTTTTCATAAGGGGTGACTACAGTGATGGGGTCCTTAATATTTATTGAAGTTATTGAATTTTAATAAGATAAAAATCAAATGTGTCGAAATTTTTTTTGAACTCAAAAACTATTAAGAATAAAATGAAAAGAATTCGAAATAAAATACAAAACCCAGGATTGTAACACAATAATAGCATATTTTTGAATATGGTGAACATATTTACCACGGTGACAAGTCCAGATTTCAATTTTTTTTTAAAATAAATTATATTATATAAGTTTTAATTTAAGTTATATATAAAAGTGTCAGTATTTCTGGAACATTTCTAAAAGTTATGTTGAGTAAGTTGTACTTTCTTTATGCTTATTTAAAGGTTTAAACTTCCCCTGTATAAAGGGAAATGGTCACCATAAGATACAGAATGCCTTACCAGGTTTTGACATCTTTAATAATATTTGATCCAGCAAATATTTCTAAGTGCAATTGGCTGCTTTATTTAAAAAACATGCTACTTTTGTATTTAATTTTTTTTTTTTCATATTAATTTTTCCAATTATAAATTTTCATAACTTAGTGAAAAATGTTTGTATCAATACGGTTTTTTTTTTGGAGTGGTATACATTCATTACTTTTATCTGATGTACTTTTTTTACTTTAATTTAAAATATCGTACAAAAGGAAGTAATACAGTACATTAATTTACAATACAGTACAGTAATGATCCCATCAATCTGTCCATTATAAATTTTATTTTATTTTTAATTTTATCATAAGGCTTCCTTCTTAAAACAAGAAAAACGACTTTGAAAATTTTAACTAACTTAAATTGCTTATTTTATCAAGTGCATTATACGATTATCGATTATACGATTGGGAACGCATGCTTCACAACCACTGAGGTTAAGGAGTTCAATTCCCATTTGCACTTTTTTGTTTCAATTTAAAATTTAATAAATATTTAACCTAAAGTTGTTATTGACCCATCAAAATTCATTTAAGAAAAGGGTTAACATATGGTTATTTTGGATTAAAAAAAATATATAAATTTATGTAATTTTAATATTTTTTTAAAATACAGATAAATAAATTATTCAAATTATTAAAAAAATATGAACACAAAATTTTGCTGGAAAAAAAGTTATCAATGATGTCAATATTTGATAGGACACTTTCTATATAAAAACGATTTTCAAATTTTATTCGGCGCTTTTGGTTTTTCATTACTAGTAGAGATTTTAATTTGAAATATTCATTATGTAGATGTTTATTGAGTTGATGTTGATTCATGATATTTTGATTGATTGATATTAATTGGCAAATAATTCACAAACACATAGAACACACAAATACTTGGAGATACCTTAAAGAGGCTTCTCCGTCTTTCCCGCCTTCCTAGGGCATTTCTTGGCCTGGCTTTGTATGCGAAGCACGTGCCGGTTCGGTCAGGACCCTTACAAGACGTCTGCACATGCCCTTTTCCTTCGCGACCCGGACTTTGCACATACTTCATCCCACACGAAGCCACGTCAGTCTGGCTAACGGTTCTGTGGCCCTAATGGGCACCTCACACCACGCGTAATGGCCCTTGGCACTCCCGTGCAGCCGGACTGAGACGGTTGGATTGTGTTCTACGGGACTATGAAACGTCAGCGCGAGCGCAGTTTTTCTAGCTCGGGGAATCGGGTGCGTCCGTTGTGGTTAGAAGAGCGTCCTGCAGAAATGCAGGTTAGCCGCGAAATAAGCAGTTCATTCATTTGGACTGATGAATAAGTGGTCGCGAACAGCGAGCCCCTCGTACGCTCGTTAACCCTACAGATATGCAGGGTAGCCGTGATATAAGCCACTTTTATAGTGGACGAATAAGGGCAAACGTTCGAGGGAATTTGTTTAACGGACGGGTGGTTTCGGTAGCCTGGTAAGGCGACCATCTAGATGAAGGGAACACCAAAATTAAATCCCGTGACGGTACGTAAAACGCAGGTTAGAATTTGCCTTGAAAATCGAATATGGAGGAGCTAAGGAAAGTCACAGAAGTTACTGTTCCAGGATGGTTGGAAACTCCAGGACTGACTAGGAAAGTTGTCGCTACAGGCCTGATACGGGCGTTATCTAGCGACTATACCAAAACCGTGGGACTGGTGAGGCAGGGTCCAGAAAGCGTTCGTGCCCAAACTACTGTTGGAGGATGTGTCAAGCAGGCATTCCCCGGTGATCTTCCGGTCAGTGAGACTAGTGCTAGTAATTTTGTTATCACCGAAGAGATGGTGGAAAATTGGGTTGATGTGCGGAACCGTTTCTGTGACGATATTCCGTCAACTCAATCAGAGTTTATCAGTTGGGTCAACTTGCACCAGCGTATGGAAAGCGAGGAATTGCGTAGTCACTGTTTTCCCTATGACAAATTTCGGACCGTGGAAGAGTTTCGGAGTTCGGTGTGAGGGCTGATGCTGGCGTACCTGGATGACGGATGTCCGTTTGCCCCCGAAAGGGTTGACGAGTACGACCCGTTAGAAGGTATCGATGAAACCAACCAGATACCTAAACTAATCGACAAATATATCGCGAGTTGCCGAGAGGAAAACGCGGCGGAATATAGACTTCCTATAGAAAAAAAAAAAAAAAATAAAAACAAAATTCAAAGTAGGTAGCTCCATTGGGTGCCCACCTACTGCATGCAATTCAAGTCTTACTGTATATTTTTTTTTCACTACTGTTAACCCATTTACGGTTGTGCATATATTTTGTATAGATGTAAATTTTATAAAGTTATTTGAATAAAAAAAAACAATTTCAAAAATATTTATACTATGTAGGTAATTTAGAGTCGATTGTAAAAATATCTAAAATTTAATTTTATTATTTCCAATATAATTTTTAACGATTAAAAAAAAATGTTTGATTATAATAAATTAAAATTTCAATTTCAAAACTGAAATTATAATTTACTAACTATGGTCAGAATAATCGAAAAATAAAATCATATTATTATATTTCTATAATTATTTAAATATTGACATAATAATTAAGTAAATTTTTATTTATTATAAATTATAAATGTAGAGGAAAATTAATTTCATTACATTATTTAATGATTTACTATTTCTACTGGCGTCGGAGGCTCATCATCAGTTGCTTTAAATTCCAATTCTAGATTTATAAAATATTTGTATAAAACAACCATAAAGTATTTTTAATTTTACATACCTAGTTCATATCTTTTTAATATAAAAAAATAATTATACATATATACAGGACACAAACATTTAATAAACAATAACAATATTTTAGATTTTAGAAATAGTTTAAAGATTTACTTAGTAAATGCTTAGTAATACTGTAAATTTCATTAATTATAAAACATAAATGTAGAACAAAATTAATTTTAGTACAATATTTAATACATTCATATTTGTATTGGATTTGGAAGTTCTTCATCTATTGCTTTAAATTCCAGTTCTAGATTCATAAAAAAAATTATAAAACTTGAAATTAAAATTTTAATTAATGTTTTTTTATTTTAAATACCTAGTTCAAGTGTTTCCTCCGGTGTTGGTATAAACGTTTCTTCCGTGATTGGATCAAATTTAAATCCCAGTTCAAAATACTTTTCTATAATTTCTGTTTTGATATAAACTTCAATTTTTTTGGTTAAGAATTTAAAAAATAATAGGTTAACTCCCTGGTTAATAATGGCTCTATATTCTTGAACATATTCATTCCATAAATAATTCGTATTATAAGTTACAAATTCACAAAGTGTATCAGTTTCTTTTTGTAAGTCTTTTCTTATACTTACAAAAAAATCAAATAAAATTTCAATTTCAATTTCCGAAGAGTTTTTAGATCTATCATCACATGATAGAATTGGATCATTCAATTCGTCAAGAATATTTTCTATTCTCTCCAATAATAGACACATAATGTAAGGCTTCTTATGTTGATACATTTTAGTAGTAGTAGCCCAGGGTAAATGATGTAATAAATCTAAGGCTTCCAGAGCGCCTTTCATTAATTTTGCTATTGGAACAATTAATATCGCCATTATGTTTTTGATTACTTCAGTATAAATGCATCCATTTATTAAGTCGTTGTATTCTTTATTTTGCGTTTCATTAATTTGTAGCCAGGTAATAATAATTGAAAAAATATTATTTATTACTTTTGTATATGTGCATTCCAGAAATACTGTCAAGACTCGTATCTTTGACTCACATTTATATTTAGATGTAGGTGTTTTAATCAAACTATTGAGATAATGTCTTTTATGGTAATATTTTACAGCGATTAAATCATTTAAATTTTTCCATCCCGGATAGAAATTTAGTAAATTATCTAATTGATTAATTATATTTTTTGAAGTCGTATATGCTTTAGAGTAGAAAATCGCATAACATAATAAAAAACTAAAATTAACTAGTTTTAATGAAGACATATTAAAATGATTATTAATATTTATCGTTGAAATTTATTGAACAAAAATAATTTGACGAAGTTATAAAAGCCACGTATTCTGTTCTATATTTAGAAATAATAAGACTAGTATTTTCGTTAAAACTTTTTTGGTGTAATAATAATTATCTTTAAATAGAATTGTTACCACATACTTTTCGTGTGTGATCCAAAAAATTCTGTGCTAAACAATACGTATTTCATAAGAAAACTTAGAATAAAAAAATATTTAGTACTATATATTTGAATATAACAATAAATTTGTTAAACATTTGTTTACAGTTTAATCAAGGTTACTATCAAATCGTATCATTAAATAAACGAACTATATTTATTGGTAAAACGGATAATATATAACACTCTTATCTATTCTGTAGTAGATATAACTACAATCCATGGACTTTGTGTATGGTGAGTGACGAATGGGTATATTAACTATATAACTAACTATTGTTCTATTGACTCATCAATTACAATCAGAAAAGAGTTATTTTATTATATCATGGTTATCTCTTAATGACTCAATCTTGGTGGATTCATTATCATTAAGGTGTATAATGAATCCACCTTGATATTAATGTATATATTTATACGTACTATTAAAAGTTTAATTGTCGAAATATATGTATAAAAAAATATATATACATACGTTTGAAAACATTGCGTAGTCATATATAGTTATATATATAGTATTATTATCGTTAGTCATAATCTGTAAAAAATGTTTAGTTATTCTCCTTTCATTTGATATTTTACACAAAAATTAACTTTTTCAACTTAAATTTAGAAAATGTTCAGGAAATTCTCCGAGCTTTAAACATATGTTAAATTAAAGCTTATATACTATAAATCAAAAAAAAAAAAATTCGTCTAGTTGATTTGCCTGCTGTATGTAAACTGTCCTCGAATTTAGACAAAATTATTATTTGGAGTAAAAATCAACTTTTAGCTTCGAAGCGAAACTGACAAGGTATTGGTTTTACTATAATATATTTTTTTTTTTGTGACTGTTACCACTTTTTCTCATCTCTCACCGAACCGATTTCTTTCAATGATACGTCAAATCGTATCTAGTCGAAGACATTAACTTCAAAAATTGAAAAAATTTCCCTCGTTCTCTGTAAATGGGGGAAACCTCCAAAAAAATTACAAATTTAAAAATCGCTAATTTTCGAAATTTTTTTAATGTTTTCTTACTTAAAACTGCCATAACTTTTTCAAAATTGAACAAATAAATATAATTTTTTTTTATATAGATGCATAATGTTTTTACCAACCATTTGGTATATTTTTTTTATAAATCTGACCCTAAACCTACCTACAAGGAGGGATTTAAAATGACAACTTTTTCACAAAAAATTTACTTTTTCATCTTGACTTTTGAAAATGTTCCGGATAGTCTGACATTTTAATATATTTCTTAAATTAAAACTAATGTAATATATTTTATCATAGAAAAAAAAATTTCGAACTTTTATATTCACGGTGAAAATGGCTACCGTATACTATTTTTGTGTGAAAATTCTAGATTTTATTTTTTACATTTTTAACTTTATAATGCTATAACTTATTGAAAAGTGTATGGATCAACACAATTCTTTTATGAGAAATAATATTTTTTAATAATCCCCTTTTCATTTGACATACTTTATCTTAATCAGGATATTAATAAGGAACTAGCAGATCATGTAGCTTTTGGAATAATCCACCAATTTTTTAAAATTAAACACTATCTAAAGATTTGCATCGAAGCGTTTATTTTTGAAAGTAATTTTAATCACTGTCAGATACCATTATACTTGATCCAACTATGCCACGTCATCACTGTACCGCGACCCCCCTGTGCTGGGTTTTTTTTGCGGTCGTTATTTTAGATGAGTTACGCCAAGTGCTTTTTCAATCAAATAAAAACTTTTTTTGTGAAAGAATTGACCAATGTCCAATTGTTAGATTTGAAGGAGTAGACGATCATATGTATCCACGGATTTGTAGATTTCACGGTTGAACTCCAGTTGTTTGTTGTTCCGCGTCAAACAGAGAAACAGAAGATAATACTAATATCAAAAGTAAATTGTGAATTTATATGAAATATATTCATTCAAAATGTTGATGATAAAATGTAAAGAATATAATTCCATAATAACTAAAAATAGTAGCTGGATCAAATTTAAGAAATCGAAAAAATAATTCGCATCATATATTTTTATATTATATGTTTTTGACAAAAATGGACTTACAACTTTTACTTTTATAGTAATCTTCTCCTTTTTCCTCGGCTTAATCCCAATTACTTGGAGTCGGTCACCCTTATCTTAAACTTCCACTTGATATGTTTAAAATCCTCAACGCTCACATCAACTGTCTTCATATTGCATTTAACAACATCCCCTTGTCTCTTTTTTGCCTTCCTCTACCTCTTCTTCCTTCTGTCGTGAACGGCATCTTGAAATATGTAGCAATACTTAATAGTCTTTTAAATTAGATTTTAAAGATTATATTTTAATGGTGTTTTGTTTACTTTAAATGTTGTCTTAACCTTGTATTAATTCGTAATTAATCATGTATCTTAAAATATAAAAAGGGACATGAACACAAATAAAAGGATCAGTACTCATAGTGAATGTTACATTGTATTTTTACTTTGACTCTTCCTATTGGTACTCTTCCGACTGGCTGAAACTGGACTTAGAAACCCAGTTCACCACACTTCAACATTACTTTTATAGTAATACAAATAAAAAAAAACTCTGGAGTATGGAGACACAATTCAATGATGATTTTTATCATTAAGGTTCTTCATCCCTTCCCTTGACAAATCAAATTTAAAAATTTTCTAATTAAGAAAATGACAGGCAAATAACAACTTTACAATCGTTATTTCAGGAGATATGAATATTTCTATTTTAATCATAAGGAAACCAGGTTAGAAATGTGACAATTGATAAAAATCACCATACACAGTACCAAAATTCTAGACTATAATTTAAATTGTTAATTATTTTCAAAATTTTACTTCAAAGGTTATTATTAATCAGCCATTTCCTTAAAATATTTTTTAAATTTATATGCAATAAATATGAGTTATCACAAAAAAAAATTTAATTCAGATTATTTAATCAGTATATAAACAATTAATTTTATGAATAATAAAACATCTTTGCTTTACTTTTGAACATCTTATACAATACTTATTAATAAATAATTAATTTATATATTTTCTAGTTTATAAGATTAATCATAGTAGTTCGAAAATTATTAGTTATTCTATATTATTGTAAAACTATATTTTTATTGTTTGAAAATATTTTTTTTATTTCATGTATAAAAATATAATTTGAAAAAATTATAAATAAACAATTGGAGTACTTAAAAATTTGACATGATATTTTTTTATAAAATATGATTTGTTCATTAGATTTTTTTATCCATGAAGTTATTAATATACAAAATAATGATATATAAATTTATATTTATAAAAGTTCTTATTTAAGTAGTTACTAAAAGACTGATAATTATTATATTACATATAAATCAGTTAAACTGTTGTGATTCTAGATTATAAACTTAAAAATAATTGTGCGAACAAAAATTGGGTGTTTTTTAAATTTCCTATTGAGAACTATTCCCAAAGAGATAATATTGACAAGTTTCTAAGTCAACAATCACCAATTAGATTTCTTAAAATAATTTTAAAAATGCCCTGAGAGAATATTATTACTAATTTAAAAACAGGATATAAGTTACATACGCTATTTAATATACATGTTATATAAAATTGAACATACTTCACAATTAAATACTATTATAAAAAAATATAAGTAAATTCTATAAGTAACAAAATAAAATTCAAATTATAAAAACAATAATTATAAAAACATAAGTTTATTTAATTTATTAATTAATAAATATTATAAGAATTATTTTGTGCACCTTCACTATTCAAAAAATACAACAATAAAATTTGATACATATATAATATACATACATTTATAAATATTTAATTCCAATTAATAAGCTTGTGAATTAAAACATTGATCACATAATAATCTGAGGATCAGGCACAGAATTGCTAATTGACTTATGAGGTAGTACTTGGCCACCATTTATGTATAACTCATCTTTTACAATAACATCTTCACCAAGCACAGTGGTGTTTTCCATTCGTACCCAGCAACCAACAACTGATCTCCATCCAATTATACATGAGTCTAGCCAAGTATGTGATTTAACTGTTGCCCCTGCTAGTACTGTACATCTTCTTAAACATGCACCGTCTTCAACTATTACATTTGGCCCAATAGTTACATTAGGACCAATTTTACAACCTTCCCCAATGCGTGCTGTTGGGTCTACTAAAACATTGCCTATAACACCTTCACCAGTATGTAACATAGATGGTTTGCGTGTTTTCAATGATGTTAAATACATACACATTCCTAAAACACAATAATTAATTTATATTAGCTGTACTAGTAGTGCATTTAATAAATCTAAAATACCAGTAAGAAAGTCTTTAGGTTGTCCAACATCCATCCAAAATCCTTTTAAATTAAAAGCATAAAGTTCTCCATCCTGTGCCATAAAAGGAAATATTTCTTTTTCAATACTTGTTGGTTCCAATTTTATTCTATTTAGTACTGAAGGGTTCAATATATAAATGCCCGCATTTATTTTATTTGATACAAACTCTTGTGGTTTTTCAATAAAACTATCAATTCGTCCACTTTCTTCATTGTACAATATTACTCCATATTTTGAGGGTTCTTCAACTTTAGTCACAACAATTGTGCCTTCACGACCATGAGATTTATGAAAATTGATTAAATCTTTGAAAGGAAACTCACAGATTATATCAGAGTTTAAAACAAAGAAAGGCTGATTTTGTTCATTTGTTAGCAATTTCTTAGCCAATGCCAATGGCCCAGCAGTTCCAAGTGGTTCTGATTCATGTGAAAACTCTAAATGAACTCCTAATTTTTTTGCTTCATCACTCATCTCTTTTTCCATTTGTTCTGCACGATAAGATACTGCAAGAATTACCTATATAATTTAAAAATACTAATACTAATGTCACAATATAAATAGCTTCAAGACATATAATCATTGATGTACCACACATACTAAATATGTATAGGTATTTATGAATTTATGATTTATATGTCAATTATAAACCATATTTTATTAAATGAAATATGTCCAATTAAAAATTAGAACATTCCTATTAAAAAATAAAAATCAACTGATTTTATAAGGTTATGATGGTGTTTTATTAAATTTCTTTGAAAATAAAATTATTTAATATAAATAGAATACAAATAAAATTAACCATACAAAGTGTAGGAAAAAACATTTAGTTAAGAAAAATTTAAATAAATAAATATTATCAATATTACCTCAGTAACACCAACTGTAACAAGTGCTTCAATTTGATGTAGAATCATTGGTTTGTTTGCAAATTCTACTAAAGGTTTAGGACGACTTAATGTTAATGGTCGCAAACGAGTACCATATCCTCCTACTAATATTAATGCTTTGGTTCCTGCCATTTTATTCTCTACTCCACACATTATAATATATGTACAAACTTTACATTACCAAAACAACTAAAAGAAATATTAATCAATATTTAAACTGTTATTTTGACTAATTTTTGTAATTTTGGTAAAAAAATGATTGATAGAAAATGAACATACTTTAAATGTAACAAATAATTATCTACTCATACACTTCCGTTCGATACAATTACTTTTTAAAACTTGCAGAATACGAAATTATTTTGTATAAATCAACTGCCACGTAAGACTAGTAAATTGTTGTAAACACCTCTATTCAGCATTTCAAGTGTTTTTTATCAATGGTAATAGAAATACTCGATAATATAAAACACAGTATGTACCGAGTATTTGACTAAACGTAGCACCAGTTGATATTCAATGTCCACCCAGGAAGCACCTAGTAATATAATGTGTTCATTATAAATTAAGTAGTTGTGTTAACACAAATTAAAATAACTATTACTGACACTGTTATCTCAATGTAGCGGCGTGTTATCAATAGCAACAGTGCCTAGTGGTAAGTAGAAATTATTATTGTTGCCAACTGCAATCAATCATAAATCATACAATGGTTAACGATACACGAAGGTGTGGTATAATTTTGTTTCATCGTTAAAATATATTCTAATGAGATTAATGAATACGTCATTAATATTCCTAATTGATACTTTAATTGTGTTTTTCACAATTTTTAATATGTGGAATAAAACGTATATAGTTTTTAAAGAAGCTTTTAAGGGCTTCAAGTGATAAAAAAAAGAAAAAATCATAGCATTATAAGCACTCTAAATGTTCATAAATTCAAAAAATTTGAGAAGAATTTAAAGAACGATTATTAAGCATAGTAAGAAAAATAGAAACCTAGTCCTCTTGTGTTCTTATTCTTTTTAAATTATAAAAACCGTATGTAAGTTTATTTAAAAGAGATATAGTGAAGTGATTTTTTATATTATACTTAGACTTCATTAAATTAATAATTATAAATAGCCACCTTGACATTTTGAGATTTTTGTTTTCAATAATTAATACTTACAATGAAGATATATATTTTATGCGTTTTTGGAATAAAAATTATCCAAATTTTATTGAGATATTGGAGTATTCAAAAACACATTCCCATTATTCGCAAAATAAAAATGATAGACTTTTTTCTTCCTTTTGAATAATTATAAAAAATCGAGATACGCGATTTTACGTAGGCCTTCATGATGAATCATGTATTTTTTGGGGTACATATAATATATGTACCTCAAAATCAAATATTAATATTATATTATAGTATTAATGTAAAGTACATAGTACAATGGGTGAATGTAAATATTTTTGAGATCACTGAATCTAAATTTGTTATCAATTTAGAAGTTTGTGATCTTCTAGGAATTGGGAGGGGTGTTTTTTTTAAATTAAATAAATTGTTTGAGTGACCTGAATATAATTTTTAAATATTTTAATATAACATAGAGCAACATTTTTTTCCCTTCATTTGTCTTATTATTAATATTTTATAAAAAAAATTATGTGAATGGTAAATCGCACAAAATGAATTGGCTCAATAATAGGAGTCAAGGTGACAGTTATCATAAAATTATAAATAATTTGTATTGAACAAATTATGACTTTGAATATCAATTTTTGCAATATTTTTGTCGCAGTTTATGGTTTAAATAATGATGATTGAATAAAAATTACAACAGTTTTTTAAACATTTTTAATTTTGTTTGTATTAATATTGTAGCTTCAATGCGAATCTTAGAAGGTATTAATTTTACAATGATGCCTTTTTTTTATGTATGTCTGTGAATCATTTTTCTCAGCTCTCACTGGGTCAATTCATATCAACGATACAACAAAAGATTACAAATTGTATCTAGTTGAAGAAATTACAGTAAAAAATGGAAAAAATTTCTTCTTTTCCTGTAAATGGGGAAAATTCCCAAGAAAATTACGATTTTTAAAATCGATACTTTTTGATATTTTATTACATTAAACATTTTTTACTTAAAACTCACAAAACTTTTTAAAAAAATAAATGAAACAAAACAAATTTTCTTTTAATAGATACCTTAGGTATTTCCCTTTTATTTGATATATATATATTTTTTAAATCTAAATTTTGACCTGCTCGTATGGGGATTTAATATAACGACTTCTGCATGAAAAGTTAATATTTTCAACTTAACTTTTGAAAATTTTCCGGAAATCCTGACATCTTTATATATATCTTAAATTAAAGCTAATGTAATACACTCCATTTCAAAAAAAATACCTTATCCTCAGGACTTATCTTTGAGGTAAAAACAAACATTAAAGTTATAGAAAAAAATATGATTTTTGTGTGAAAATCAGAAAATTCTTATTTTATTTTATATAATAAATAATGTTTTTATAATTATACTAAAAAGATTTTGATGTATATTTTAATATTTTGATTTTTAAAAATCAATTAAGTATGATGTATACTCATATAGTTTCACTTGTGAAAAACACACATTTATTGTGTCGGCCACACTACTTTTTCTATCCAATTAATATATTTTGATATTTTTGTATAGACTCCGGGCACATTCGGTTCTCCACACAGTTTACCAAATGAAGTTATACCCACTTGCGAGTACATACAATCAAATTCCGAATGAGAAATTAATAGAGGACCTCCAGAATCACCCTAATTAAATTTTTACACATTATTATGAGTCATGAAATATAAAAAAACATTATACAGGGTGTTCAGTAAGTCAGGAAACGGGTTTCTATTGTCTCAATGTTTGTAACAATGAGAACAATAGAAACCCGTTTCCTGACTTACTGAACACCCTGTATATATATATATATATTTAAATGGTTGGTGCAACTAACTGACAAATCTTATAACTTTTGATCTAATAATCATTTAACTGTAATTTTTAAAAACAATATTTGCATTTTTAGACTGCGTTGAACTATATTTTTTAATATTTACTTTAATAATAACAAAACAATTTACAATTATTATTTTAATTTTTTAAGTACTTAAAAATTTAAAAATACATGTTTTTAGAGTTTTTCTTACAAACTAATTTACAATAAAAATGTTAGCAAAATCAATTATTGAGTTATAAACATTTTATATGTTGAGTGGGTATATCGCAGGTTGAGTATACTTTATAAATATACACCAATATAAGCTGTACCAATTCGCGTTACATATAATTTTAGTTTGCGCTACACACCCACTTACACTTTACGTATTAAAATGATTGTAACTTAATAATTATTCGTTTTAAAATTGTTAAACCCAATAAACATTTCTTTTAAAAAAAATTGTTGTAAATACTTTTTTTAAAGAAAATATTAAAATTTATAATTTATATTCTATACATTTTTACGCTAAGTGTGTTAATTTTACAAATAATGATCAAAAACTGAAAAATTACCCTTTTGAGCGAATTTTCAACCCCGATTCGGTACCAGAAGAGGGTAAGTTATGAAAACCAAATTTTACCCAAATAACTTTCATATAATAACGAAAAAACTGGCGAGCACGGAGATCGATCAATGAAAGTTTATAAAATAAAAGCCACCCTAAATGTATATAACAAAACGGTAGCACAGTGGAGTTGCGGTACAGTGTGAGCGTAGCACAGTTGGGACTAGTATAGATGATATCTGACAGTGATTAAAATCACAATCATAAGAAATGCTTCGATGCAAACCTATAGATAGTGTTTTATTTTAAGAAATTGGTGGATTATTCCAAAAGGAAAATTAACTCCAATTTTTTGTTTTAATTAAAGCTAATCACGCTATCAGTTTATAAAATATAACTGTTTATAAATCTATTTAAAATTGCGATATATAAATTAAAAATATTATCTTGACTTTCACTAACTGTATTGAGTTTCATTTACAAACCTGACAAGTGTCTTTTCCTCCTTTTTTTTCTCCAGCACAGATTTGACTATCTGAATTTATACCAAATAAAANCGTATTAAAATGATTGTAACTTAATAATTATTCGTTTTAAAATTGTTAAACCCAATAAACATTTCTTTTAAAAAAAATTGTTGTAAATACTTTTTTTAAAGAAAATATTAAAATTTATAATTTATATTCTATACATTTTTACGCTAAGTGTGTTAATTTTACAAATAATGATCAAAAACTGAAAAATTACCCTTTTGAGCGAATTTTCAACCCTGATTCGGTACCAGAAGAGGGTAAGTTATGAAAACCAAATTTTACCCAAATAACTTTCATATAATAACGAAAAAAACTGGCGAGCACGGAGATCGATCAATGAAAGTTTATAAAATAAAAGCCACCCTAAATGTATATAACAAAACGGTAGCACAGTGGAGTTGCGGTACAGTGTGAGCGTAGCACAGTTGGGACTAGTATAGATGATATCTGACAGTGATTAAAATCACAATCATAAGAAATGCTTCGATGCAAACCTATAGATAGTGTTTTATTTTAAGAAATTGGTGGATTATTCCAAAAGGAAAATTAACTCCAATTTTTTGTTTTAATTAAAGCTAATCACGCTATCAGTTTATAAAATATAACTGTTTATAAATCTATTTAAAATTGCGATATATAAATTAAAAATATTATCTTGACTTTCACTAACTGTATTGAGTTTCATTTACAAACCTGACAAGTGTCTTTTCCTCCTTTTTTTTCTCCAGCACAGATTTGACTATCTGAATTTATACCAAATAAAAGCTTATTACCTATTATATTGGAGTAACTTTGGTTACAATCACTTGGTTTAACTATTTGTAATGCAACTTTCATCAGAATATTACTTGTTGGACCAGCTATAAGTTTTGATAAAAAGAGATTTTATTTATTTATGCATGTAAATTATTAATTTTAAATACATAAAAGTATTTTATTTTTTACTATAAATTAAACCATCTATGTGACTAATCCTATTTTACAAAAATATAAAATTTAAATTAGCTGTTCACATGCGTGAATATTCCAAACATTAGAATTATTTTCTAAAAAAAAATCCTCTTTTTGAAAAACAACTCTTTAACAAAAATAGCGAAATTCCCCCCTCCACCACTACCACAACCACCACCAACAAATTTCTTTTAGATCCGAGGCTAGCTATTGATTATAAATAAATAAACAAGATAACGCATTAAAGAGTTAATTTTTTTTCCAGTCGTGTACCGATTTAGAGTTCTATTATTGGCGTAATCTACATGGAAGTTGTGGAGGCTTTCATAGACACATTAACAGTCCAGTTAATAAACTGTAATTTTGAGGGAGAAGAGATGAGGCAAAACAATATGATGAAGGTCTCGATTCCGGTTTCATAAATTGTGAACTATTGGATATATATATATATAAATAGTATTTTTCATAAAAAGCTTATTTAAAATATTAAATTTATTTTAGAATAGTATTCCGTTGAATTTACCTACGTAATAATGATAATGAAGACTTAACTTTTAAACTACCAAATTGTTCAGATTAGTCATGCTCAATAACTTTTTAATTGACTAAATGTATATATAAATTTTCAAAATATAAAATATATATAATGAAAATTGTACAAAAATAACAAGAAGGTTATACTATTGGGGGATCTATCCTCCTAATCCCCTCATTTTACCGTCACTGCTATTTGAATTTGATTATTATTATCAGGAGGAAGTTGGGAGGATATCTATCCCCTGATTCCCTCCCATTTGACTATCACTAATAATCCCCACTTTTAAAATAAATTATGATTTTTTACCGAAAAATATTTTAAGCTTCATCTATGGAGCCCTTTAATAAAAAAATAAATAATTATCAAAAATTCGTAGAAATGAAAAATCTTTATTAATAGACGAATGAGCATAATTTAGTGTTTAATTATATTATATTTTAATTTTTGAGTTTTAGTATTGAATTAAAAATATTCATTTTTGTACTAACCTGAATCAATTCTTCCCCAACCAATTGCTGTAGCATGATCTACTGCAAAATCTGGTTTTGTATTTAAACATACTGGAAAAATAAATTTATTAAAATCGACAGATGAATTCAATAGATATAATCCAATATCATTGTAAAGAGAAGGAGCCTTGTAATCTGGATGAACAGTCAGACTTATAATTTCTCGAATTTGGGGATCTTCGTTCTCCTGATTAGTTGCTAAATCGTGATCACCCATTAAAGCCCATTTAACTGAACCTCTGTTTTTTTAATTGAACAAAAATAATTTTTGTTTAAATATAAGCATTAATTTAATTTACAATTATTTAAAGTATAAAAATAAAAAAAATTACTTAAATCTTTGTTTAGAGCAATGTGCTGCTGAAAGAATATAACGATCACTAATTAAAGACCCTCCACAAGACCATTCAACATTTTCAAATCGTTCCCCAAATCCTAAAAGGACCTAATAATCAATATAAAAAAAAATTATAAATCCCATTATTTCTTCTTCACTCTACAAAAAAAAAAGTATAATCAAAATTATCTTTATGCAATAATTAGTAATAATATTACAATCATAATATATTATATTATTTTATGAAGAAATAGTGCTTATTTTTTCGATTCTAACTAGTGTAATTTACTTATACAATTGTATCGCATACCTATTATTTTTTAAATATTTTATAAATATTATACGTAATTTAATACGCTTAGATATTTATTACATGCATTTATATGTAACAAAATTGTACATACCATATGAGGAAACTCTGATGATTTAGCTGATGTACCACCAACAATACTAAGTTTATTTTTAAGATATTTAGCCGGGCAATTCTTAAATTTGATCCAGCTACTATTATTAGTCATCATGGAATTATATTCTTTACATTCTATCATCAACATTTTGAATGAATATATTTCATATTTCATATAAATTCGCAATTTACTTTTGATAGCAGTATTATCTTCTGTTTCTCTGTTTGACGCAGGACAACAAACGACTGGAGTTCGACCGTGAAATCTACAAATCCGTGGATACATATGATTGTCTACTCCTACAAATCTATCAATTGGACACTGGTCAATTCTTTCACAAGTAAAGTTTTTATTTGATTGAAAAAGCACTTGACATAACTCATCTAAAATAACGACCACAAAAAAAAAAATAAGTTTAAAAAATATAGTAATAATCACCAATAATTATATAAGTTTTTGTTTATCACTCTTACTCTCCTTTTGATTCATATAGTCATTAGGCTCAATTATATGTATTATGTACACTAAAAAAAATAATATATTAATTGGAAACATTATATACTAAGTTAAATATAAATCTTAAGACGTGTAATTAGAACTATTTCTATAACAATTTGCTTGTTAAAACCAATGTGATCTTAATATGATTGATTGAAGGTATTTATTTGTCTAAGATAAAACTAGTTTATATAAATCATTTATAATACCATCAAAGGTATCTGGTTAAATCAGCTGTATAAAAATAAGTTCATTTTTACATACTAGAAAACCTTGTCCATAGTGTTACTAAGTGTTCAATAGTAAATTTTAAGGAAGCAAAAATTGTTTTTTTTAATAGTTGAAGAGTTCATAACTAAATTTTATGTAAATATACAGTGAAATTTTAAATGTTCAGGAGTATGACACGGTACCGTATATTTTGTGAATTGTTTAAGTTAATCATCAATTTTATATCGATCAATTTTATCTGTTGCCATACAATATTGTAGCCAAAATTAAAGAAAAACACGAACAATTTAATTTTATTGAGAAAATAGTTTTTTGTTAGATTTTGATATATTTTCTACGTACATCAGTACATAAACGAGTTTTATATTAAAATTATTTGTGGAGATACAGTTATATGGAAATTAGAAGAATTGAAACCTCTACAATGAAAAATACGAATCAGAAGCTTTGTTAAATACAAGTGATTCTTAATTACTTTTCACGAAATAACTTTAAAAATTTAAGAGTTTATCATTTTTTTTTTCAACAATAATAATTTTTTTGATCTATACTACGAGAAAAATTAATTTCTAATATCATACCTTTGGTCTGTTTCGCATTAGCGCGTATGATACGCGCGGTGTTTTTATTTTTGTTTTATACTTTACCACCTTTTTTGCTGTAGCATTTTCTATTTATTTTCGAAATGAATGTCCAAGTGAAAAGATGTTTGATTTGTGCAGCCTACATACATATTATGGAAAAAAAAGATTTTCAAAAATAAAAAAACTAGTTGATTTTGAATTCACCCAATGTTTGTTCTAAAGCTTCTAAAAGACGCTTTGGCAACCCTTTTTTCTGAATTAAGAGAACATGATGTGAATTTTTTTAATTATTTCAGAATGTCGAGAAAGCATTTGGTGAACTATTTTCAAAATTAGAAAAGGTAACCGTAAATAGTAACTTTTGCGTACCTATTTCACCGACAGAAAGATTGTGAAAGAAATTTAAAAATATTACTTAAAATTAAGGTTCATCAACGATATCGATATAGCCGACTTTTTTTGTTTTTCCACGATATCGCGATAATCAAAAAAATATTTTTATAAAAAACAATTTGAATTTTAACCACTTTGTTTTAAAATATATATTATTTGATATTAGGCTAAACATAGTTTGTGATTATCTTGTTGACATTTTTGATATTAAAATATATTATTAAATATAAAATTAAGATAAGACGAAAAATGTCATTTATTCATACAAAATTCTATTCTTAGATTAGATTTTTTATTATTATAACATTGTTATTATTTGTATTTTTAACGAAACACGAACAAAGTAAGGTATGAACAGATTTAGAGATAGATAGTTCAGAATAATTAAATAAACAGCAACAATTGTTTGCACAACTGATTTTAAATACTTTCTTTTTTTTTTAAGATAGACTTGCGTATAACATTGATTTGTTCACTTAATATATTATGTTTTTCAATTCATGTAATTTAAAGTTTGTATGATGTATGACATTTCATCAAAGTATACTTTGAACAATATTAATATCTTTTGAGAATAGTATTTATACAATAAAGAAAAGTCGATATGACGATCACAACTTCGTGTAATAAATGTATAATGGGCAATCATTGATAAAATATGCCTAAAAAAGAGCGTTTTCTACTACTGCTTTATTTAACTAGTTAAAATAAAATAATCTTAACAAAATAACTCAAACAAATTTAATAATAACAAATTAATATAATTTACATGAACTCAAATATGATGGTACAAGGATTCTGACGTGCTTTTGAACATCTTATCTAGTTAAATCTAGATTATCTAGTTAAACATCATGCATATTTCAAAGCATTATTGACGAACAAGAGCTAATAACAAGCGTTTGTAATCCCCAGAAGTATCACCCTAAAACAAAAGTGAATCAATAGCAAATTCAAACCCATCCCATTTTTGATAATACATTTTAATAGATTTGTAATGACAAAATAGGTAAAAATAATATAGAACTAAAATAGTATAGGTGTAGCGTCAATCGTAGATAAGATAAGAGAAAATAGACTTTGGTTTGGTCATGTTATGAGGAGAGAGGATTCGGAGGCTGTAAGAACAGTTATAGAAATTAATGTCGAAGGAAGAAGAGGTCGAGGAAGACCAAAAGAGAGAAGGAGGGATGTTATTGAATGCGATATGAGAACGGCTGATGTGGGTGATTGTGTCAAGTGGAAGTTTGGGATAAGGGTGGCCGACCCCAAGTATTTGAGATTAAGGCGAGGAAAAAGAAGACAGTAACAATTGGTTAAAACTTAATTTGAAAAATAAGATGTAGTTTTTGAGATCAAAAAAAAAAATCAAATCTCTATTAGATGATAATGATGAAGAAGATGATTTTATAGTCTGATTTTTATAATATCGCTGACATTTGGTACAATATCGATATCCAAACATACATTGTTCACAAACTCTACTTAGAATGAATTATTTAAGCGGCTAATTTTATATTAACTACATGATAATTATCAATGTAATCACAGGGAGTGGATGTTTTTTTATAGAAAAATATTAAGGGTGTAATAAAAGTAAATTTTTTTTATTTAAAAAAAATTAACTAAATTTGAAAATTCACATTTTGAATTTATCGTTATAATAACACTATATCTTACCTCACCTAGCTGTATTTGTACTTCCACAAAAAGATCACTAACTTTTTTTGAATAAATACTGACGTAATATTTTAATTAACTCGTATACTTTTATTTGTAGATACTTAGCATCGGGTACCTTATTCATAGACCTTCATAGTATGGAAATATGTGCTATTAATAAAATAGTATAAGATGTATGCAAAGAATTGTGAGAACTAAAATTTGAAGTTATGCCATTGCCAAATCATCAAAAGTGGATAGAAATTGCTTTGAGTTTTGAAAACTATGCTAACTTTGTACGTTGCATAGGCGCTTTAGACGGTAAACATATTCATTTATGGGGAACGAGGGAAATTTTTTCAATTTTTAAAATTTTTGATTTTTTGAATTTCTTAAAAATTACTCAGAATCTCATAAGCGATTCAATAGTAGTGTAATCGTTTTGTAGATTTATAATTATTTTCTTTCATTTATAATGAATTTCAATAATAACCGTGCACACTCTACTTAGAAATGAATATGTAATATTTCATTCTAAGGTATCCGGGGGCGTAATTAAGAGTAAGTTAAGCGTATAATTTCCTCCAAAAAAAATTAGACGATGATACAATTTTCTGGAGGAGGGTTTAGGGTAGTGAAAATTTTTCTTAATTATATGCACTCCTAAAACAAACCTCAATTATACCACTGAAGGTATGACTGTTATATCTTTTTTGTAGAGAAATAAATTTATTTGAATCATTTATATTAACAGATAATTATATAGACTGTAGGTAAACTATTCATATAACAACAATTTCAATAAACGTATTCATTTTTTTAATGATTGTTAACTTTATTACACATTGAACGTTCCGAACACTCTTAAAACACAAATAGTATTAATATTAAATAAAAAATAAAGATTAATTCCAATTATTCTTCCATTTTACCTGCTCTTATGGATTAAGATAATTGTTTGTTGTTACTTGCATTTTCACACGTAATATTATTTCATTGGAAACATTGTTTAGGGTGCACAATCGCACCCCCCAAGAGGGGATGATGGCTGTATACAATATAAATGCAAGAATACTTACTTACATTTTTTTCGTAACACTTGTGTCTTAGGCGCTTGGGGTACAAGGTTCCAACTCGTGTTGGCAAGGAATTTTTTTCATTTTTTTCTTAATTATTTTTAAGTTAGAACAAATTTTCAAATCATTTGTTTTTTATCTCATTTAGATTCAATAACTTCAATAAAGATCAAGGATCCCATCATTGTTGTCGCCCCTCGCAAGAAGAAATTTCTGATTCATATTAAAATTATTTTACTATATTTTAGGTTTTAACTTCGATGCAAAGCTGAGAAGGTATTTTTTTGCGCCTATCGTTTATTTTCTCTACTATAACTTGACCTACTTTTTTCAACGATATGTCAAATGATTACAATTCGTATCTAGTTGAAGATATTACCCTCAAAAATTGAAAAAAATTTTGATTTATCAATTAAACAGTTACTTATACCATGTTCTCCATACAGACAATTAAAATCATTCATTTATAATGTTTTCAAAGTATTTATTGACGAATCAAGTTCGATATGATAGGTTTCAATTACAAAATTATATTATTTTACTTTGTAATTTAAATAAATTTTTTACTCTATTTGTGTGTGATATTACTAGACTATAATGTTCCAATTTTTTTGGTAACATGTTTTTATATAAATCATTTCTAAAAAAAATGATTGTTAGTTTTTCCTGAATTAACAATGCATTTTTAGATCTTTTTAACAACTTTTTTTTAATTAGTTATTTTAGTTAAAGTAAATCATTAATATTAATTCAGTTCATATTTCAACTGTAGAATCTTTTTAAACACCAAAGGTTACTAGAAAATGATTACTATTATTTTTATTTGTTATCTATTACGATAAAAATCCAAAAAAATATTGAGCTTTTCTGATGATAAACTTACAAGAAATAATAATTTTTAAACTTTCTGACTGCATATTAATCTTAACGATACAATTTTTTTAATTCTTATAAAATTTCCTATTTAATGATGTCAATTTCAAACTTGCAAATTGAGCTAAAAGTTATGATAATAAATAAATTTTTTTTTACTATAAACTTTCACAAAAATCAACTTTAAAGGATTAAAAAAATAGGTTAAATATGTCATTTTCCTTATTTTTAACATATTAATAATCAAAATCAG